GAGAGAGAGAGAGAGAGAGAGGGACTGTGCCAAGCTGTCCATCATGTGACTCTGACACGTGCGCGCGAGAGAGAGAGAGAGAGAGGGACTGTGCCAAGCTGTCCATCATGTGACTCTGACACGTGCTACTTCGTTTCTTCTTTGCCTTTTGCCTTCCAGGAAATGTTCCAAGATGCACGGCCGGCATTATGGCTCTCATGTCAATGCTACTCCCGACATGTCCCCCACCCGAAGAGCAACTCTGCCAAGCAGATTGAATGCTGATTGTTTCATTCATACAATGCAAAACCTGCTTAACATCAGTGTCACTCGTATAGTTGGAGGCGACTTCCAACACCTTCCCCGGGCCAATCGTTAATGACATCATCCGAGCTCAGCAAACTGAGACTCTCCCACACGCGCATGCACTTGCACACACAGCGTCAAAACTCAACAAGCAAGCACGGGGCAAAGTAAGCACGGGGCATACATGCATGGAAGATCGCTTGATCACAAACATATCCAGAGAACACAGCCAACAAAGTCTGAATCTGAATCTTTAGCGAAAACGTCAACGGGTCAACGGGACAACGGGACAAGGCATTTTGTCAGAAAAGTTCACGGAGTCCTTGCGCATATCACAAAACAAAAACGATGCTGCAAAGGTAACGGCTCCCCAAACAAAACACTCAAAGATAAAGAAAACCGCAGGTAACGGCTCCCCATTTTCTTGCACGCGGGTTTTCGTCTGCTCTCAGGCTTCTCTTTTTCTTATTGTGAAAGAAGCGGCATTTGATAGGGGCCAGTTCCTTTTGCGTTTTCTTTCTTTTGTGCTTTGTTCCTTTTCTGTTTTTGCGGGCGAAGCTGCAACGGGGCATCTAGTAGACTCGAAATTCTAGTAGACTCGAAATTCGCTGTGGACACAAGATCGTTTCACGAGCACAAACCCCCCCGAAAAAGGAGGTCGTCCAAGGTTTTCGCTGCAGTGCTCGGCCGCCCAAAAACCGAGCTCCGTCAAAACAGTAACGATACGGTGTGTATCGATTTTCCACGGTGGTAAGTAGTCTCTGTTGCGTTTTTTTTTTTTAATGATGAGGAACTTGCTACTTTTAGCGTCGGCGGGGAAACACCAGTGAAGCACTCAGCGGCCACGAGGAAGCGGCACTGCGCTGCAGGTCCTGGGCATGCATGGTAGAGATCATGCAGCGTGCTGTTTGTACGTCCAGGGACAGGACTGGTTGGAAGCTGCAGGGGAGAGTGCGTGGATGGGGAGGAGCACAAACCGTGCGAGTTGTATCCGGGAAGGAGGGAGGGGAGGAGGGAGAGGAGGAAGAGGGAGTGGAGAAGGAAGAGAGGAGGGAGAGAGGAGGGAGAGAGGAGGGAGAGAGGAGGGGGGGGGACAGGTGCGGGGAGGGGGAGAGTGAGAGCCTCTCTGTTCTACTCACCAAATCTGTAAAATCCCGTGTGTATCTTCAGTTAGGAGTTGGGATGACACACTCGCCAAATGTTTTTTTTATTTTTTTTTGTCTTTTCCGTGTTAAGTGAGTGGTGGAGCGAGGCCCGAAATCTGATAACCCTTTTACACTAAAGTATTGGAAATGTGTGTGTGTGTGTGTGTGTGTGTGTGTGTGTGTG